CAACAGAAAGTTGTACTGTATTTCCGTGCCAAGAAATAATTAGTGGATCATACTATCTTTTAACTATTTTAGACAAAAATAACCTGATCCCCAATGTGGCCCACTCCCTTCCCAGTTGTTTAAGTGTCCATAGCCTGCAATACTGCCGAAATTACAAAGCAAAAAGTAGAATAGTAGCAATAGGCAGTAATTTGAAATTAGAACTATTTTATATATTTTTATTTTATTTTATTTTATTTTATTTATTTTATTTGTATGCTGCCCATCTTCCCCGGTGGGTGACCCTAGTAGGATAGTAGAGATGTAGCAACAAATTTTCTATCTTGCAAGAACAAAACCATAAGCAGCAGAGTTTGAAAAACACATGCAAACAAGAGATTATTTCAAAGCACAAATTTGTTGGAAATGTCTGAATGTCTAAAATGGTCCTTGCTTGAGATAAAGGGACAAGAATCCATTTTGAAGGGACAAAATCCATTTTGATCTATATATACTCTTTCCTTGGCAATGGCTATAACTTCATGTGCAACAATGAGTGGATGGTCTTCCTTCCAGGTGGCATTGTTGAGAAGAGGAGGGGAGGCAGCCTTTCCTGCATGAGAGATGAAGATATCAACTTCCAGCAGCAAGCCAGATGGAAGGAACTGAGATTGGCAATTAAAACTGGTTTCGTTTTCTTCTGGCTCAAAGGATGGTAGGAGAAATCTTTAATAGATCTGAGGGAAGGGCCCTGGAGCCAGTCACCATGGCATATGGGCAGTGTTCGGCAGTATTCCCCGTTGTCCTATCCTGCTTTAAAGAATGCATTGCCCCAGTTACAGCTGGCACCCTTCCCTTGTTATTCAGCTAATGAAGTCCCATATAAACCATCATGCCCCTGTCACATAAATGGAGAGAAGCTGTCTCATCTTGTTAGAATTTCATGTCTTTATTTATTTGATGAATTTATGTGGCTGCCCATCTTAATTAAATACCTCTCAGTGGATAACACAATATCAAAAGCATAGGCAACCTCAGTTGAGAAAAGAATTGAGGCACCTCACAGCATGAAACCAAACGGCCATATGAGGATCCCCCAATATCCTGCCCCAGGGAGTGAGGAAAGAGCCAGATCTTCAAGGCTTTCAGAAAGACCAACAAGGTTGAGGCAGTCAGAATCGCAGGGGGAGGCAGCGTTGGTGACAGAGAAAGCACACTTCTGCAATCCCACCAGGTACCAATGTTTCACAGAAAGGACCTGGAGGATGCTTAACCTGCTGGATCAGGTAGACACAAACTACTGGAGACAGGTCATCCTACAAGTAACCCTGCCCTGTTCCATGCAGGGTTTTAAAGGTGACAGCCAGCACCTTGAATCACACCTTAAGCCTAATGGGAACCAGTGCAGCTCACCTAACAATGGTATTACATAGATATTCCATGTTGCACCCAAAATTGCACACAATGTCATATCCTGGACCAGCTGCAAATTCTTCAGGTACTTCAAGGGCAGCCCCATATATAGCTCGTTGCAGTAGTCTAGCCAGGAAATTACTAAGGCATGAATGATCGTGAGCAGAGCCTCCCAATCCAGCAACGAGCACAACTGGCACATAAGATGGTTTCCTGCAAAGGCCTGCCCAGCCATGGCTATCGTCTGCCACCTCCTTCTCAAGGAGGAGCCCTGAGTCACATAGGCCACCTAGTCTTACTGTAAATTCTGACTGTATAGGATTAAAATGATTTTAAAAATAAACAGGTGTCAACAGATAGCAAAGTAACTTGATCAATAACTTTTTTGGAAATATGACTGAATATGACTGATATGGTCCTCTACAGTTGAAGAATCTTCTCCCATTGACTTCCTGACAAATGCTGGAAATTTTCTATTGTTTTTAAATCAGGCAGTATATATCATCTATCTGAATGTTATCAGAAAAAAATCCAAAAAGTATTTAAGCAGGGTTGGTTAGTCAGATCCTTCCCCCACAGATGTTTGCCTAATTTTTTTTTCTTTAATGATTTCTCAATAGAAAATGGCAGTTTAATTTGCAGACTTTTGGGTTTTTTTAGGAGCTTCTGTGTTGTTAAGTTCTCTGAAGGGAGGAACAGGTTAGTTATTTATTTGTTTGTTTGTTTGTTTATTGATTTTATCTCCACCCATCTCCCCTTGACGGGTGACTCTGGGTGGCTCATATAACCCATTCAAACAATAAATGTAAATAAATTACATAAAACTTAAGAACTGTGCAAAACAAAAGAAAAAGTCCAAGAGGCTGATGGTTTCAGAGCTGCAAGTGACAGGGCCTCTAAGGGGCTAGACATCCCCACACTTGATGCCTTCCCTCCCCAGCCCAGGCCAAGTGGCTGAGCCAGGTCTTCAACTCCCTCCAGAAGGCCAGGAGTGAGGGAACCAATCTCACCTCCTGAAATTCTGCTGTGGTGGAAATAGATGGAAAAGAATATTCATCATGGATCATTGAACAGAAGCAATGGGCCCCACTTGCAATGAATGGGATCCCAGCAGACTTTTCCCTAAATCAGCTTCCCTGAATATGTCGTCCCCCTGATGTGTTAGAAGAAACCATCTTCAAGAGGATTCAGCCTGCCTAGGGCGTACGAGTCAAGAGGATATGTTAGAGATCTCCTTTATCATGATGTTAGGGAGTCTGAAAACAGGCCAACTCAGTAGTGCCCCCTCCCTCTGGAAGACCTTGTCTCACCCAGTCAGGATGGCCCCCTCCTTTTTAATGTTCAGAAATGCCATTAGATGCTTCTTTCCCATAATGCTTTCAGAGCAGAGGATATCAGGTGCTGAAGGCTGCTGTCCATTGGTGTCTCATTTTCAGCTGAGAGGAAGGTTTTGGTCCTTTTGAATGGAGTTGGTTAATGATAAACTATGGGAAATGTTTTCATGGATATTTTTGATAATCTTGATTTGTGATGTGTGCCACCTGGAATCCTGGCTAGGTGAGGCAGCCTTTAAAATTTAGATAAATGTATAATATCGACAAATGCTCCTTATGACAGGATCCTTTCTGAACCACACAACTTCTATTAATGCTTCTACTAACACGATACAACTACTATGACAGGAAGAGCAGTTCACGCACTCTCAAGATTACAAAAGCCAAGATTGATTGATCAAAGCTCGAGATTAATGCCTGCCCACTCATTCAAGATTTTGGTGACTCACTAGGGTTAAAACCAACAAAATGAATAGTTTAATTATGAAGAACAAACCACAAATTTTGAGATTCAAACAGTGTGAGTACAGTATCAGCGAATATGGAAGACATATGAATGGAACTTAAATTAACAGGCATTTCTGTAGTTCAGGAAAGAGGAGGAGATATATTAAAGTAGTGTTCTGTGCAAATATCTTCCATGCGGTTATTGATCACCATGGCAGGAAGTGTAGGGACAATATCAATTATGCCATTGAAGGCATTATCTTTTGGACTTTTTTGGGGGGGGGGTCTTTGAGCAAGTGTTGACTCCTGGTGACTACCTGGACAAGTCCCTGCAGTTTTGTTCGTAAGATTTCAGAATCAGTTTGCCACTGTCTTCTTCCTAGAGCTGGGAGAGAGTGACTGGCCCAAAATCACCCAGCTGGCTTTGTGCCTAAGATGGGACTAGAACTCACCGTCTCCCCATTTCTAGCCCGGTGTCTTAACCACTACACCAAACTGGCTCTCCAATTCATATAAGACAAGCAACCATGGCAAATGGTCAGAGAATCATGGAAATTGTACACAAAAGTCTCCAGCTTCTGAGGGCCCTGGGTTTCCTAACTCTGCTGTAAGGAACACTGTTCCGCAGGTCTAGATTGCCTTCTGGTATTCATTTACAAGATCCCCAGGATGAATCCTTGGGCTTCTGTCATGAGATCTTGTTAGAGAAAAAGTCCTCCAGTCTCTCTGGGGTTTCGGATCCTCTAGGAATCCAGTGGCTCCTTCAGAGTCATTGATGTGGCTGATGTAACCAGCCTACATACTATCAAATTTTTTTTTCCAGAGGAAAGACTGTACAAAGACTTAGGTATGGCAGGTGAATCTTGAAGACCTCAAACTGCAATTGAATACTACAGCATTTTCAGTTTTCCTTAAGAAGAAACAGCCCGTCTCTCTGAAATCATCAGAAAACCATTCACAAAGTAAGATCAATACCTCTTAATTTACCAAAGGTCATGTTTGGTGGGTTGGTACCTCCCATTCTGGAACTTCTTGAAAAGGAGTTTTGATTTTAGATGATATTTAGTGGAACATTAAGAGAGTTTTATTGTCAGCTTTTTGCTTATGGTTAATATTTAATTCTTCTGAGCCTCGAATAGATCATGCCTTAAATTTCTGTCTAGATGGGAAAGGACATTCTTTACTTGACAGGAATGGCTGACCATAGATGGTAAACAATGGGCAGAAATCACATTTAATGGGAAACTGAGCTGCCTTCAACCTAAACCAGTTTTTTCAACTGGCAATTCACCCACTAGATTAGCATTTCAGAACTCCCAGTTAAAACATAAGTGCATAATTTCAGAAATGAAAAGTATATAATTCCAAGACAATCAACTTAAAATGGACCCTACTCTTATGGACTTTCTTTTATGGACAGAATCTCTGAAATAATGAACAAGGATATTATCAGACACATCCAAGCAATCATGTGTCTTAAACTCAAGAGGGCCATATTTAAAGTGAGAGGATTCAAAATGCTGAAAAATGAATTCTGAGAAAGTATCCTACAGCGGTTGCATGTTTCACTAAGTTGATGCAATTATACACAAAATGCAGAGAAGACAAAATAAAAATTGCAGACTCCCTTTCCTATATCCTGCATACTACTTGAACCAACTAATTACTTGATCCAATTTACTACTTCTGAATAAACTTGAAGAAACTAGGATATAGGTCTTTAGTGTGACCAGCTGATTTAATTTTTTTCATAGTTGTTAAAAAGAGTTATTTAATTTCTTATTTCATACCCCTCTTATGTTCCCAAGGTCCTATCTGGATGATACCATGAAAAAAGACAACCGGACCTGTTTGACAGAGATTGTCCTGCTAGGTTTCTCAGATCTCCAGACCATGCGAGAACTTCTGTTTTGTCTGGTTCTAATGTTCTACTTCATGACCTTGATGGGCAACAGCCTGATTTTGATCCTCACCGTTCTCAATCCTACCCTTCACACTCCAATGTACTTCTTCCTCTGGAACTTGTCCTTTTTGGAAATTGGCTACACCACGACCATCAGCCCAAATATGCTAATGAAATTACTATCAGAGAAGCAGACGATATCCTTTTGGGGCTGTGGATGTCAAATGTCTTTCTTCATTCTCTTTGCTACCACCGAGTGTTGTCTTCTTTGTGTCATGGCGTATGACCGCTATGTTGCCATTTGCAAACCCTTGCAATATCCGTATATCATGAACTTCAGGGAATGTGCTAACCTTGCTGGTGCCTCATGGGCCATTGGTGTTTTCATAGGTTTGGGGCAATCTATTTCAATCTTCACCCTTCCCTTCTGTGGGTCAAATAGAATCAGCCATTTCTTCTGTGATGTTTTGCCAGTTCTGAGAGTAGCTTCCACCAATACCTACAAAAATGAAGTGGCTATTGCCACACTATCAGTTCTAGTTATCCTGGTACCCTTTTTGCTCATCCTTTTTTCCTACATCCTCATCATCTCCACTATTCTCACAATGCCGGTGGCCCAGAACAGGCGCAAAG